TATTTCTGGGATTCTTCTGAGAGAGCAGAAGGAATCAGATCTTCTTAAAGGAATATATTTCTGGCTTAAGATCAACCTTTTTGTATCTACTCTAGTGAATCTCCTTACACAATTAACAACACTCATTCCTGCTGACAAAAAGAGCTGATAATCTTCTAATAAAAACATCCAATTCCAAGATGATGGCAGAAAACACTTTATCATCTCATAATTCTTAATTTTAATAATTTTTATAAAGTCTGTGGGCTCTGGGAGTAGGGCTTACAAATGACAAGGAAACAGTTCCTCTTGGGGGCGGGGGGTAGCCAAGGAATTTCAGTGAGAATCTGTAATCAAACCAGAGAAACACACCTTCAAGCAACCACTGAACTGTCTCTGCATCCTCAAGAAGACGTGTTGGAGTCACTCCAAACATCTGTTAAACTGTGATGGCTAATCATATGTGTCAGCTTGGCTGGGCCACAGCAGCCAGACATGGGGTCAAACATTTTTCTGGATGTTTCTGTGATAGCATTTCTAGACGAGATTAACATTTAAACCAATGGACCTTGAGTAAAGCAGGTTGCCTTCCCTGATGTAGATGGGCCTCATCCAGTCAGCTGAAGGCCTGACTAGAACAAAAGACTCACCTCCAAGCAAGAGGGAATTCATCAACAGGTGGCCTTTGGACTTGAACTGCAGCATCTGCTCTTCCCTGGTCTCCAGCCTGCAGGCCCATTGCACAGATTTTGGACTTGTCACTTCCATAATCACATGAGCCAATTCCTTAAAACAAATCTCCTTCTGTGTGTATATGCATCCCCTTGGTTCTTCTCTGGAGAATCCTAATACCAATGTGTTTCCATATCTCCCTAATTTGATTTCCTCCTTATATTCTTTTCACAGTCTTGGCTGAACAGGGGAATCACCAAGGGAGCTTTAAGAAACACAGATGCCTGTGTCCCCACCTGCACAGTCTGATTTGATTCATTTGGGCTGTAACCTGGGCATCAGGATTTTAAAAGTTTCCCAGATGATTCAAAAGTGCAATCATGGGGTGCCTGGGTGGCTCAGTGGGTTGAATGTCTCCCTTTGGCTCAGGTCATGATCCCAGGGTTGTGGGATCGAGTCCTACATTGGGCCCCCTGCTCAGCAGGGAGCCTGCTTTTCCCTCTCCCTCTGCCTACCACGCCCCTTGCTCATGCTCTGTCTCTCTCTCTCAAATAAATAAATAAATAAAATCTTAAAAAGTGCAATCATGCTTGAGAAAAATTGTCTTCTAGTTCCTTGGTCAACAAATCTAAGTAAGCACTGGCCTAAAACTCTTCATCTATACTATTCTTAACCAGCTGATTGGATCCTTCTGCTGCGAGACTCCAGAGCAGGGCCACAAAGTCCCAGGAAGGGTTTTTTTTTTTTTCTCACTAACCTACTTGTGAGAGCTCCTGAGGTCACCAAATGTGAACCATGTTACATTGTGTTTACGCAAATTCCTGTCTTTAGGAAGAAAAGTATGCTTTTCAATTTCACTTCAATGTTTTACATTAATTTTTCAATGCTGCCAAGTGGATAGTTAATTTGCATCCATTTTACTCACAAGGAAACTGGGGCAAAAACAGACAGTTTCTTTGCATAGAATTCTTCCTAACACCATAACTGTCCAATGAAGGAATAAATTGCCTTTTGCGAATTTCTTCCCATAGTGATTCTCATGAAGTCACGGAACCATGTCTGTTGCTATATTTGCACATGAGCCAAATGATACGCACACAAGGTTATCCATTAAAACCTGGTTTGTGGAAGTAAAAGACCGGAAACAACCTAAGTGTCTACCACAAGGGACTGGTTAAAAAATTATAGTGCCTCTGAAAATGACATGCTACGCAGTCATAAAAGGGAATGAGCCAGCTAGTTGTTCATGCTCTGATATGGAATGATCCAGTTGTGTGCTGGAGGTAGCTTGGACCAGTCCATGAGGGCAGATTATTAGCATGTGTCCCTAACTCAGGAGTCAGTGACCTCACAGAGCTTGAAACTGGCCATGGTAGCCCTTATGCCATGGAAATCTGTACATGCTACCCCCCAAGGCACTGCTGACCCCATGAGAGCTGGGGTTAAAACATTTATTACCATATCACTGAAAAGATCTCCAAAACCTACTGTCAAGTGTATAAAGCAATGTGCCTCGTAGGCTAGCTACAGTGAAAAAAACAGGGGAAATGACATATTAAAAACCTCTGATTCTTCAATCTTTAAGTACAGAATTACTATATGACCCAGCAATTCTACTCTTAGATATATACCCAAGAGAAATGAAAACATACGTCCACACAGAAACTTGAACACAAATGTTTATAGCAGCATTAACCGTAAAAGCCAGTGGGTGAGAACAACACAAATGTCCATCAATGGATGAATGAATAAATTGTGGCACACACGTACAATAGAATGTTATCCAGCCCTAAAAAGGAACAAAGAACTGATACATGCCAACACTTGGAGGAACCTCGACCACATTATTCTATGTGAAAGAAGCCCAACAGTAAAGGCCCTGTGTTGTGTGGTTCCTTTTATACAGTGTATCAGAATAGGCAAATCCATAGAGATGGAAAGCAGAGTAGCAGTTACCACGGGATGGGGGAGGGGGAAATGGGGAGTAATTGTTACTTACTTACTTACTTACTGATTGTTTTGGTCTTTTTTTCTGGGTTGATGAAAAAGTTTGGAAACTAGAGTGTACAATAAAGGCCATTGAACTGTGCACTTTAAAATGACTGTGAATTTCACTTCAATTTTTGAAAAAAAAAAAGAAGAAGAAGACCTCTGGGAGACTACACTTAGAAACTGGTAAACTAATTGTCCTTGGAGAAGAGAATGGGTACCTGGGAGACAGGGCACAAGGGTGACTTTACCATGGATGCCTTTTTGTACTTTAAAATTTTGAACCATGTTGCCAACAGGGGCTATGACAGATACGTGCATACCCTCTACAAAGCGCAAGATAAATAGGTAAAGGATGAGTTAGTGGCAGATCACAATTAACTCAGAATCTATAAACTAAGGCTCTAGCTCAGTTCTCAAACCACTAGCTTTCCAGGCACGCACTGGTTCGGTTAAATCCACCATACTCTATCAGGTGGGAGTATCTTTTCCAGAGGGCAGTTAGGCTTCTTGATTTACTCTGCCCAGTGAACGGAGGACAGAGAGGAATGCTCAGGAGACCTGGTAATAGGGTGGGTGAGGTGGATCTGGGAAATGGGCATATGTCCTTGGGTTAGTCACATGACCTCTTTGAGCCTCACTTTTCTCCTCTGTAAAATGGGGATGATCAGACCTACCTTTCAGAATTGATATGGCAATTTTATAGAGAATTCAGATAAAATAGTTATGTGCCCAATACACGACAGGCACTCGGCATGGCTGATGTTGTTTCCCAGGAAGTGGGCAGTGCTGCAGGATTCTTTCTGCTCAGGAGACTATCTGATGACATATCATGAAGATGTGCTCAGCCTTCTTTGTTCAACTAGTCGAACTACTAGCATGATTTTTCTCCGCTATCTTTATGAGCCCTCCATTTCTTCTGCTTTTACAAATCAAGACTACCGTTGAAGTAGAGAGTGGATAAAAAAAGTAAAAGAAGTAGACTTCTAAGAGTACCTAGAGCTGAGATTTATTGAGTGCTTACCTGGGGCCTTATATTTTAAATGTATTATTTGTAACACTTACAACAGCCTTAGAAGCAATATATTTCCATTTTCATGTTGCAGGGCGTAGAGACTTAAGTAAAGTGCTCACGTCACATAGTGCCAGCAAGAGTCAGAGCAGAGATGGGAGCCCGGACCCGCCTGACTTTCCACTTGATCACAACCCACCATGGACCCCAACTTGCAAATTCCCAAAGTCAAGACTCCTGCTCTGCATGGGCTTAGAACAATCAGAGAATGTGGATGCACATTGGAAGGGGCCTGAAAGAGATCGAGTCTAACCCCCGCCTTGGCAAGGGACTCTCGCTTCGACGTCCCTGCTTCTTTGATGGGGAGCTCATCACCTCATGTGACAGCCCCTTCCATTTTTAGACAACTCTAATTACTAGGAAGACCCATAATGTGCTATTTGCCAGTCAGATTCACCTGCTATTTTCATTACAACTTCACCATCATTGAGGTGGTGAGGCCATCATTAAGACACCCTCCGCTGAAATCCTGAACTCCATTACCTCCTGGACTTGCAATAAGGCCCCTAACACCATTGCCAAATAAAGTTTCTCCAGCACATCAGCATTGCAGACAGAGGCATGAACGGGATGTTGATTGCCACTTCAAATGAGTCTGGGATAGGTGATTATCTCTTCCTGAGAAAGGGTTATTCCGGGTGGGATGTATCGTCACTCAGGACAGAGGTATAGCAAATATTGCGGGAGTTTAAAATAACCAGAGTCGTGTATATGCAACACAATTCCTTGGTTAATTAAAACGCCATGAAAAGCAATGAAAGCTGATTTCTGTGTTTCTCCTTTTCCGGGTTTTCAGCTTCTCTGGCAGTTTTCTGCCAGAGTTGAAGGACAGTCCGTTTTAGATGATCAAAAATGAGCTAATGTCACTAGCTTCCTGTAAGAACCAGCAAATCATGACGGAGATGAGAAATAGATAGGAATTGAAACGGGGGTATCCGAGGTCTTGTGAGCGTGTGAGCTGCGCTCATCCTGATTCTCCATAGGGAAAGCAAAATATGTTTACGTGATTGTGTGAGCTGCAGGAAACAAAAAGATGCCAGGGTCAGAAGACTAATGGAGCTCCTCTGGGACTTCAGGTGGCAAATAGGATCGAGAATCTTAACTTTAATGAAGACAACAAAAATCACATAATTAACACACACTGTTAACACTTCATTAGTCTCCCGGGGCTTAATTTATGCTAAAAATAATCAACACGTTTTGCTTAAATAAGGTGCTCTTACAGGTGGTCATGAAGTCCGCCTTGGCCAGAGCAGAACGAGACCGGAGCTCTACCTTTTCTTCTAATGCGCAAAAGCAGGCCTCATCTTCCTTCTGAGGAATGGATTATTAAACACATATGTGGAACTGTGGAGGGGAAAGAAGGGTATTATTGACTCTCTCTGACTCTGAGCCAGACTCCCAAATTGCACACAACCCTATCTCACCACCCGGGCCTCCTACGTGAGGATTATCTCCTAAATAAATCTGGTGCGGGGAGGGTCTGGGTGCTGACTACAAGTCAAGTCGGGAGATAGGCAAGTTGTATGTTCAGTGCCTTCTCCTCTCTTCCGTGTGGCATTCTAAGCATTAAAACTCCTCTTGTATGTTTATACGCACCCTTCCACCTAATCTGAGTTTGGCCCTGGACTGCTTTGACCAATGGAATTTGGGGGAAGTGAGGTTTCAAGCATTCTGACACCCGGGAAACTTTTGCCAGGCCCTGAGCACCCAAGAGGCTCAGCTATCCAGCCTAGTGGCAGCCCCTGTTGCCAAGGGACAGCAAGTGTGAGAAGGAACCCGACTTTCTAGCTGGGGGCCTCTTTATTCATGCTTAAGTTTAACGGTAAGCAGGTAATCCATGGAACAAGCTTAGTCCTTCTCATCTAACCTTCTTGCTGCCTTTATAAAATCCTAAATTAAAAGAACTTCCTAGTTCCTCAAAGGGCTAAAGATAAATACCTGAACTCATGTGGCAGACCCTGCTAGCTGCCTACCTAATAAACATTCTCCCTTCCTTCTTAAAAAGGAAAATTCCATTTTGTTATGGTAGCAAGAGCTTCAGCTAAGAACTCTTGCTCTGCCAAATTCTTAGGCGTCGAGGGAGGCCCTGTGGCCATGAGACATAGACTGAAATCTGGGACATAGGGTGCTGCTACTCCCCGACTTTCTCCTTTCTGCCTGAAATAGGATGCCACATCTAGATGGGTAAAAGGTGGTGTCCAGCCAACGAGGCAACAGCACGAGGTCAGAAGTCTACATACTGACGGTGCTGAAAAGGAGAGGCAGGAAGGCTCTGGGCCCTGGGGGTGTAATCCAGTCACTCAGCCAGCTGTCGACCTTTTGTCCTATGTGGCCAACATCTAAGTGCCGAAACAACTTTGTATCATATTTTCTGTTATTTGCAGCCAAACGCACTCCTGGCAGTTCCTCTTGGGTTGATCTGGTTGAAAACCGCCGTCTGAGTCCTGGTGCCCAGAGCAGGTCAGGGAAAAAGCATTCTTTACTGAACACTGCCTGAATAAAGGCCAGGTCCTCACAGGGGACACTGTACTAGCTTGGGCTACAAATAAAAGAAACCCCTGGCTTGCACGGACTTAGGTAACAAATCACAGAGCGGCAAGTCCAGAGATAAAAAAAGACACAGGTGCCTCAGGGACCCAGATAATTCCATCTCTCTACTCGGCTATCCTTGGGGAACGCTATGTGCTCGTTAAACTAGATGAATCAGGAAATTTCCTTGGTGAGCCCCCGGGGTCCCGTTGGGTAGAGCTGGATACCTGAACAAAAGGAAAGGAAAAGCAGGGATTGATAATCACAGGGAACCCAAAGCGGGCTCCACACACATGTTGTATAAACACTTCGCAAAATGTGGAAAGCCCCAAAGTACAAAATGATGCTGATGGTTCTACCAGCCTGCTGCCAACATTGGTTTGAGCACTTTCCGGCCGCCACTTGAAAAAAGAGGGCTTGTTTTCTTGTCCATTCAGCTAACATTTATGGCTTCCAACTGAATGGTTTAATTCATCCATCCTATTTGACTGGTCTCATAACAGGAAGAAATTAACATTTCCCAAGGGACCAAACAGTCCACTTATAAAAATGGAATATTTGAAAACAAACAAATAAACCAATTCCTCCCTTCTGTTCCTCCCAACTGAGCCACCTTCGTTATACAAAAGAGTGATCCTGAAGGAAACCCAAACTCTGTTTAAATGGAAAGAAGATTCCAAAGTCTGTTTAATAACAAAACAAAATCATGGCTGCACCTTGGAAATAGTCTGTTTGTCAGTGTGGAGCTGATGTTCTTAGGAATTTCAAGATCCAGTGCCGCACTGGGAATGGATGTGAAAACTGAGTGACAGGATCCCCTGATGCGTAGGCAGCTTCGCAAAAGTTCATTTCTCCGCAGAACACTAATCTGCTTATGCATAAACCAACATGGTATTGGATGTGGCATGCCCAGGGAAGAGCAATTTGTAGGACCAGGAACCACCTGCCAGAAGTACCGAGCTAGGACGGAACAGAGAGCCACCCGTGCTTTCCTTTGGGGAACTATGTCTCTCCCTCCCTCCTCAGGAGGTTCTGGTGTGCTGGCCCAGCTCCTGGCTAAAGGGGTGGGGCTAGGACACAGTCTCTATTCCATCCTCAGTGGTTGGTTCAGATGTCCAAACATGGCCCAGATAGGTTCCGTGAGACTCAACCTGGGCCTTTGTTGGAATTTTTAGGAGTTGTAGAGTTACTGGAATATAAGAGCCTGGATTTTTTAGTTATAGGAACAAGTAAAACCCCATCTGCTGAAGTTGACTGCAATGTAAGGAGATCTAGCTAATATACAGAAACAAAAGGTGCCAGACTCTCTTGAGTCTTAAAGAGGAAACAAGCAGTCACCCGTGACTATATAAAAAAATTAATTTTATATTCACAACTGTCTCCCTAACTCCACCCTAATACCTTCACGTATTTTCTAGCTCAGTGTATAAAATGAAGTATCCTCAAAAACAAGTAATAAAATTACATAACGTGGTGATGACCATATGCCACACACTTTGCTGATTGCTTTCACATACAAATCTCATTTAATCCTCACACAATTCCTGTCCCTGTTCTTACATGTGAGGACCCCAAGGTTCAGAGTGGTAAATGCTGGGAGGAGGTGCCAACTTAGCCTGAGGTCAAGAGCAGTGTTCTCATCACTCCTGATGTCTCATGGACAGCGGGTCCAGCAATTGTCTCAGATGTTTTAATACCTCAGCAAGCCAACCATCCCTGCAATGAAGGCTTCTCTTTTTACTTTAGAATGCTGGCTCATTAGGGGTCTGATCTCAAACTCTGCAGGACTGAATTTTAAGGGCCAGCAACATATAATGCAAAGTTCCATTTAGGTGACTGCCTGGAAAGACTCTGAACTTGAGGTTCTCCTCACACCAATGAGGTCAGCCCAACAACTGCTGATTGTTATTCTACTAATGTTTACAAGTGTCTCTGCCTTTCAAATTTATCAAAGTATAATTTATAAGCAATAAAATGCATCTTTGGCAAATGTAAACCCTCACGTGAGAATCCTATTTTCTTTATGTAGAACATTTCATCGCCCGAGAGAGAGACTTCTCATGTCCCTTTGCAGTTAATTCTAACATACACCCACATCCAGTGTGCCCTCACCTCATCCTAGGAGGCCACGGTTCTGACTTTTATGATAATAAAGTAGTTGACCTGTTCTAGGACTTCATGTGAACAGAATCATATAGTATGCACTATTTCGTGTCTAGCTTCTTTCACCCATGGTTAAATATTGTTGAGATCCATTCATGTTGTTGTATGTACCAGTAGCTTCTTTCTTATTTCTGAATAGTATTCAATTGTGGAAATATAACACAAATGATCTATTCACATTTGTGATGTTTCCAGTGGAAGTATTATGATGAAACCTCTTACATATACTCTTGTATAAGTCTTCGTATGGACATACATCTTCATTTCTCTTGAATAAATATCTAGGAATAAAATTATCAGATCACATGTTAAATGCGTATTTGACCCTGTATGAAACTTCTAATCAGTTTTCCAAAGCGGTTGTACCATTTTATAGCCCCACCAAAATGTATGAGAATTCTAGTTAATCCATGATCTCACCAACATTTACATTGTCAGTCTTTGTATTTTTAGCAAGTAAACTGATATAGAGTGATGTTTGTGATTTTGTGTTGCATTCTCCTGACGACCAATAAAGATACTTACTGACCATTTGTATAACTTCTTTTGTGAAGCACTGGTTAAATTTTTTGATCTATTTTTAAAATTGGGCTATCTTTCTTCTTACGTGGTTGTAAGAGTTCTTTATTTATTCTGGATACAAGTCTTTTGACAGATATGTGTATTAGGGATATTTTCTCCCAGTCTGTGATTTGTCTTTTCAGTTTCATAAAGGTGTCATTTGAAGAGCAAACATTTAAAGGATTTTATTTATTTATTTGACAGAGAGAGAGCACGAGACAGAGAGCATGAGTGGGGGGGGAGGAGACTCCCCGCTGAGTAGGGAGCCCCATGTGGGGCTTGATCCCAGGACCCTGGGATCATGACCTGAGCTGAAGGCAGACGCTTAACTGACTGAGCCACCCAGGCGCCCCTCCATATATATTTTCTTTTGCTACTATTTTGTTGAGGAACTTTTCTCTGTGCTCGTGAGGGATGTTGGTCTGTTAAGATTTTGGTTTCAGGGTTATGCTGGCCTCATAAAATGAATTGAGAAGAATTTTCTCCTTTATTTTCTGCAAGAGTTTGTGTAAGTTTGGTATAACTTCTCTCTTAAATAGTTGCCAACTGGTAGAATTCACCAGTGAACCCATCTGGGCTACAATTTTCTTCGTGGAAAGATTTTTTTAAATTACAAAATAGACATTAAATATATAGGGCCATTTAAACTATTTCTCTTGTGTCAATTTTGCTGTTAATGTTTTTCAAGAATTTTCCCATTTTATGTTATTGCATTTATAACCATAAATTTGTTCAAAATATTTACTTCTACTTTTGATAGCTATAAGATATGAAGTGATATGCCCATTTTCATTTCTCATATTGGTAATTCAGACCTCTCTTTCTTTTAATTAGTCTTGCCAGAGCTTTACCAATTTTATAATCTTTCTAAAGAACCTTTTGGCTTTTTAAACTTTCTGTAATATTTATCTGTTCTCAATTTCATTGACTTATGTTCTTTATTATTTCTTTCCTTCTACATAGATTGAGCTTAATTTGCTGTTATTTTTACAGCTTCATAACATTTAAACCTTAGTATTTTTCTAACATAGGCATTTAAAGTTATATATTTTCCTCTAAACACTGCTTTGGCTGCATCCCACAAATTTTGA